CCCAAAACCCCAAAACCCCTAGAGTTTGCATATACTCTTTTAAGTAAAAAGTTTTTGACTTTAAATTCATAATAAATAGAGAATTTTTCAAAAGTAAATTAATGTACCTATTGATATTTAATCTTAATAATAAATTTTAATAAAATGACGTTAAATCAAAAAGGTAAACATTATTATTAATATGAAATAGGGTTTGAACATCAAGAGTTTAAAGATATAGCTCTCAATGATACAATGGAAACTTCCATTACTATTGAAAGGCCATCTTTTCCAACTGCGAGCATCAAGGATACTTAATAAGACTAGAAATCTTAAGAAAGGGTTTTATTAATTAATGCAAATAACTCCTGGAGTACCAAACTCAGATGATTACTCGGTATCACAATCTATATGGGTTCAATGATCAGCTTTGTCATAACATTGATAGTGTTTAAGAAGTTCCAGCAGGTTAATAAGGAATTCACATACTATGAGTTGCTAATGGTAAGAGGATACTCACAAGCATTCTTTCAGTTTATTCAATTTAAGCTAATGGGCGTCACACTAAGTAATCTCACTAAAAATGATGCTAAACTCATATTGTATAGAGCCATTATAAATTTGCTCTCTATGTATTGTTACTGGTATGCCCTTCAATATCTACCAATGGGAGTGACAACAAGCATTGGATTTATTTCGCCCTTCATCACATCAATCCTTAGTTATTTTATTCTGAAAGAAACTCTAATGAAACTAGAGATACTCAATATGCTAGTCTGTTTTGTAGGTGTAATATTGATAGTATTAGATCAATAAAAAACTACTCAGTAATAATCATAAAAGATTGAGATAGAATAAAATGTTACTCAATTTACTTATACGCTTAGTATATTGATGACAATGACTTATACTGTTCTATTAGCAATGGTCTTTATAGTCTTAAGGAAACTCAAAGGAGTTCACTTTACTATTACAAATGGATTTTATGGGATATTCTTAGCTGTATTTTCTACATTATACTGGTATGTTTGCAGAAAATTGCCTAACCCAGATCTCTAATACAACTTTGATTTTTACTAGATTGAGCTATTAATTCTCACTGCCATATTTTCAAATTTTGCAAATTAATTCGCAATTATGGCACTAAAATATGACAAAGCAGGGAGAATACATTCTCTCTCTTTCTTCCAGGTCTTATTTTCATTTTTAGGAGATATCTTAATCTTTGGCTATAACTTTACATCTTAGTAGTTAGTAGGAGCAGTAGTCATAATTTCATGCTCGATTGTAATAATGCTTTTGAAATACTTTATGAAAGATGAATGATTAATCAAGTAAAAGTGTATACATAGATTTATAATTTCAATTGGAAAATTTTGATTACCTTTTGTATTTTTGATATTTGTTTTCTATTTAAATACTACTGAAATTTGTAAAATATCTAATCATGGGGTTTTGGGGTTTTGGGGTTTTGGGG